AATTACTACGCTTTATGGACACCGTGCCTACTCATCGTCATCATTTATGGACGCCATATTTATACTCTGAAATAATAGGTTTTCTTACATTAATTTTTAAATGGATTATAATGGAACAGAGTATCCCGCCTACGCTATCGGTATATACTGGCGGGGCACCAGTGAGGGATGATAAGTGAAGCAGGTCATTTAGCCCATCGTAATTATTTCAACAATAAATCAGTCACAATGGTTTTCCAGGGGGAATCGCGTGGAGGTCGACCTGATAGGGTGTATTATCAGCAATGGGATTGCCATTTTCTAATTCCCATTACTACCAATCCCTTGTCTCTTTCTCTATTACATAATTAGGTCTTACCACTGACTTATTTCTAATCTACCTATACATATTTCTACAATCAATCAGCTGACTGGACGCGCTCTATAATATGAGTGGTTTAGAATTCCTCGTTGTTGTTAGATCTTAGTCCTAAAGAACGGAAAAAATATTAAAAATAAAACATAAGGCGTATTATGAACATCATATTGGATCTTGTAATATCCATGGTGCTTTTTATGTTTTATACGACAATTATCATTGACCTGATTAAAAGTAAGAATCAAGTTTAGCATTTCAAGTTGCATAAAAAATTTACACAGTGCATCATATTTCATCATACTAATATTTTGTTGTAATCTTTCGCAAGAATAGGTTTGAAATGTCATCGAATATGCATTTCTTGATTTGTCGTACGTATACGGTGTCGTATTACTAAAATATTCTATGTCGAAGTAGAATATGACGCCTGCAAAAACAAGGGTATTGCAAAACAATATTAATAATGTTGACTTTAGTAACAAATATAATAAGTATACAAGTTAATTTGATGACGAATTGTTTTTCAATATTATAGAACGCAATTGATAAATACATTTATAAAAGAAATCAGCTGTGCCTACTAATTAATTGAAAATTAGTTTTTGTATTCAGTCCATCTATGTTTGAAATTGGAATGAGTTGTTATACGAAGGCGCAGATAATATATTATTCTATACTAGGCGAAGGTGTAGTTGAACTCAGGAAATAAATTCTCATTCTTCCCTATACCTTCAATTTTGTTTAGTGAAAATATAATACTTTTACTTTCTTAGAATACTTTTAAAATGCTCTTAAGATTCTAAAGTATTCTTTTATTCAAGAGTATTTTGTTGTTTAACTGTATTCGTGCACTATTTACTATATTGTTCGTGCATTGTTCTTTCAGGTAACGACTTTACCTAAACCTGGTTCTATGTTCTAACTCTTTTTTTTTGTTCTAGACCTTTGTGCTTACTGTTCTTTCATTATCTTGTATTTCATTATATTTGATATTAACATAACATTGTACTGTCAAGAATGTTTTTTGTCATTTTTAAGAACAGATAAAAATATAATAATAATCATCTCTGGACACTTGACAACAGTACTTTTTTTTTATACCACTGAGATGGCAAACAAGCATACGGCCCACCCGATGGTAAGTGGTTATCGTAGCCTATGAACACCTGCAATACCAGAGGTATTACGCGTGCGTTGCCGACCTTGAAGAACGGGACCATTGAGGCTGTAGGACATGAGGATGAACTCCCTGTCGATGGTGAGCCGTACGATTTTTTTTATACAACTTAGAATGGCAAACAAGCTGACGGCCCACCTGATGGAAAGTGGTAACCGTCGTCTATAGACATGAGCAATACTATAGACATAACAGAGTATACTGTTTCGCCTATAGTACCCCCCATGCGTTGCCATTCTTGAGGACTCAGGTATACAGACGGTAGAACACGCAGAATGAGGCAAAATCTCTCTTAAGACTTAAGGGTTCGATACCGCTTGTGAGCCTGGGATCATCGACAATTCTCATAGCTCGTCGTTGCAACGAGTCGAAAGGTTCAAGCTGGTATTTAGGTGCTCCGGCCCATAAGTTACAGCAATACTCAATGTAGGGCCGAATTTGCGATTTGTAGAGCATTAATCGCTGATCCGGCGAGATACTTAAGAGATATGCTTAAATACATTTTGTAAATAGGAGTTCTATGACATATAGAATAAATTATACTCAGCCAAACAAACATTTTTTGTATTGTACGTAAATCGAACCACCAATAATTGTAATGCGAGTAGGCAAGTACGTGTCATATCGCCACATCACCAAGGTTACCAAATTGTCGTTTAGTTTCTGTATTAAGCATAAATATTAAAATATTATTCTTTTAAAATGTTTAATGAACATAACTACTAAACCTACATACAATTAATTGTTAGTGTAAACATCAAATTGCCATACTTACTAAGTACCCTTAATATACGGAATAGTGACTTCTGTTTACATAGGTGTAAGTTCTTATGTGTAATAAGCAAAAGAATAATTCGTACTTTATATTCTTTTAAATTTATCAATACTATTGATCGCGATCAAATGACGACAACCAAATTGTATATAATATTATTATCTGAGAGAAAATTTCAAAGAAACGAAAATGTATATAAAAGAATTCATGAGCGAGTTGTTCGAATAATTATGCCTATTATATCAAACTAGACTCTTTAAAAATATTTTTAACCAAGTTTTTATAACGTAATCCACCATTTTACGATGGCGGCCATTTTGTAAAATACTACAACACAGGCTTTTACCTGCGACTTCGTCCGCACGACCAGGATATGTTTAATGACCGGGATTAAAATTAGCCTATATTTTTCTCCATCCTATACAGTACATGTATAGCAATTTTTATAGAAATAATTAAGCCGTTAGACGCAATAAGGGACCAAACAAACAAACAAATGAATTTTCTCATTTATTATATAAGTGCTGAGTACTGCGTATTGTATTGTCACCAGAATTAAAGATGCAATAAAAATGTCTGTACAGTTAAATGTCAAGAAGTGGTTCTAATTAGCTTACAAAATTTGACTTTAACGAAGTAACTGACATATATTGCACGTTAAATAAAAGCTTATCACGATCGGACAACACTTGACTGTGGTCAATAATTCCAAGATCGACTCGCAGCCTAAACGTCCGAATTTTCAAATTCATGTTTCGATCATATACAAAAGATTGTCACTTGTTTCGTGCTTCTGAGGGTACGTAAATAATATAAGATACGACAAGCCAAGTCAGAGGCTTTCGTGTGCAACGACGGCCAATAAACTTTTGATATCAGAAGGTGACAGCCTCGTGAAATAGTTCTATGTCGTCGTCGTAGTACTAAATATATATTTGTTATATGTATATTAAATAACTTAATAAAACTACATATAAATAATATATTTATATAATAATACTAGCTTTCGACCGCGACTTCGTCTGCGTGGCCTAGACATATTTACTGACCGCGATAAAAAGTAGCGTCCATCCCATATAGTACGGATTGTGGTCACTTATCCTAGTTGGAACCACGTCAGATTTGCTTAACTTGCATTAGCGCTAGGTCTTCTAAGCAATCACTCACTCCCCACTGAATTACTTAAATGATAATTACGTACCTAATATACCTTCATAAAAATTTCAGCCAATTTAACTGATTGGTTATTTTATAACATTTTATATATATTTTTTTAGATCGATATAACTTTTTTATTTATGAACTGATTGAAATAAAACAAACAGTATTAAATGGAGCAAACTGCAACGCTTTAGTAAAAATTGCATTCAGATCGGTTAAGCCGTTTCTGAGATTAGCGTGCACAAAAGTACAAACAAACAAACCAAAATTCTAAAACCATTGTTTTGGGTTCTATTGCGTTCATAAAGCCCCTCTATAATAGTTTTTCTTATGTATCTACCATGTACTGATTGATTGATTTATATGTATGTACTTATTATTACGTTATATTTTATTACTATTTCCCAAATATGCAAATACGTGTATATAATTTGCAACAAAATTAGAGACATAAAGAGAATTAATAATTAAATTTTTTGTTGATGTCACCATTGGACAAAAAATTTTATAATATTTTTTTTCTGTATGTGAAAGAAAAACAATTTGTGTCATAACTCCTTTTTATATCATAAAAAAACTAATGGAATAAAGTACCATACACTAGTTACTAATATTTTTCTATAGTTGGAAAAGACCCGTGCTGGCAATGGTAGCTAGTGTTTATGGGTCGGTCATGTGATGCATTACTAAATTACTCGACTTACTGAATTTTTTTTTATATATTTCAATCCAAGTAAAAAATCGAACACAATTCTGAAATTGTATTGAAAATAATCAATTCATTAATATTTCCATCTTACATACATATGTATTTTGCTATTGCGGAATAAATCTCATAACCCACGTGATGAGTTTGTAACACATAGGTTATGGAGTAAACACAATTTTACTATTATTTTATAAAATGTTTCCATTTCATTAATCACTGTTTTACTATGGTAACAAGCCGACTTTAGTGGGGTTTGTATTTTTGTACGACTTGGCAAATAAGCTCGCAATGATAATGATAGAAGAGTTACTTTCGCCCGTAGCCCGTGTACTACTATGCCTATGCTGCCGCTGCCCTTATGCAGTATCATTTCTGTGTGATAACGTGTTATTATGCCTCTACCTATATAATTTCATTACCATATTTCACCTTTTTAATTGCCGTACAGCAATGCTAGTACAAGTACTTGGTGGTAGAACCTCAAGTGAGACAGAAGTGCTTTTATATCAACGAAACCGTATTAAAACATCTAACCTTTCTCTCGTAAGGGGAAAGGGAGTGTTAGTAATAGGATCTAACGGCCTCGTCGTTAGCAATAGCTGTAATACGTGGAAGCCAAACTGACAGGGTGTCAGTTTGACCTCCACATGGTTCTTTAATCATGATGGGCTACTTACCACACTTTAACTTAACAACTCTCAGTGATGTCTTCCCAGCGCATACTAATAGCGCATTACCAAGTATCGTTTCATTTGTTTTCCTTTAAAAAAAATTAAATGCTTGATGTGAAATTTCACCCTAACTGGAGCGTTTGTTTCAGTTTCAGCGGGTGGGCGCGTACGCGGTGGCGTCAACGCAGCGCGGCGTGTGCGCGCCGCTGTAAGCGCTCGCCGACGCCCGAGGAACATGCGCGCAGTGCGATACCGCCGCGCCGTCAGACCGCGCGCACCATGCTCAATATGAAGCTAAAAGAGCGCCTAGCGCTCGCAATTAGCGCACTCCTCGTCTTTTTCACCCTCATGCTTGTCGTGGACATTCAAATGGATTATGGGATATCTGGACACAGAGTGCCGTTACACGGACGCGTCCGCATCGGAGACGACACGGATAAAGGACGATCAGCCTATATTGAGTTTCGGAAGAGATTCCTACAAAAAAGGTTGGTGTTGTGTTTCCGGTTGAGTGTTTTTTTTTTTATTTGTGTATAATATAGTGGAGGTCGCTTATTGGTTTAAATACAGGGTATGTATTTTATTTTATATGTTTTCATTTTAAAAATGCCGTGATTGTTTATTATGTTTTTACTGTCTTAAAATGAATGAATCCTTGACTTATCAAGTCTTATCTGTTTTACGTACCTATTTGTTTCTTAAAAGATCTTATCTAAAACGTGTTAACCTATTGACAGCGATATAAACATGGCCTATTGTGTTAAGAAACAGGACATATTAGTAATTTTTTAACAATCCTATCGGTAATGTCAAATTCCTAAAATTAATAAATACCACTGGAGTTGTTATGTTTTTCCTTTATAAAAATACTAAACTGATTCAATTTAGAAAGTATCTATTTCAATATTTAACTACTACATGCGCGACGGCAGCAGGATGCAAAGGGGTGTACTAGGACTACCCTGTCAGGAAAGAAAATACATAAAAGAAATTATTTTTTTTTTTAAGTTACTGTTTAAATAAAAATTTAAGACGCCTAGATTCAATCTGAATATGTTAAACAAACATACATCTATAATTTATATTTCATTCATTTATTAGTTTTTTGCCTTCTACTTTAGGAGTACAAGAGTGAAATAAGAAAACTAATGACCATTTGTAAATGGCGTATATAAATGAAACGTTGATTTTAAGTTAGACCTTTAGGAATACAACGGTGAAATCCGTATTCAATTTGGTGCTGTAGATTTTGTATGATGCCGGAACAAACAAACAGACAGACAAAATTTCTAAAAATTATCATTTTGACTTATATAATCTATGTTTATTGTATATATACTTATAAAACAATATTCTTACAGTATACATACATATTTAATTTATGTACAAGTTTTTCTATATGCTTCCTCTTCGCCAATAGGTACAAATATGTTACAGAATACCATTAATTAAAGGTATTTCTGAATAGTTGAGTGTATATCATATAAAAATATTATTGCTCACCATCATGTCAATATTTTTAAATAAACTACATAGATAGGTACTCTCTTTGGACAAAACCCATTGGTTATGATTGTGTAAGTGTATAGTTATGGAATTTTGTTATCAAGAAAGATTTGTGTGTGTTTTAAAATTTATATACAGGTTGTTTAGTAAGTTAGGTTGATTAGTTTTTTTTAGTTAATATTGTTTTCGTTGCTTATTTATTTTCTTTTCTTTAATTTTATTAAGAATTTTAATATAAATTATTTTAATTATCTTCCATGTATAAACATTGTCTAGTAAAAATTATATTAAATTAGTAAGATAGTGTAGTGTGTTGATGCAGATGCACCTCTTTAAAATAATTCTGACTACGGCCATGATAATATAAGTACATAGTAACAACTACAACAAGAAAAACTTATATGACTTAAAATTAGCAAAACTGGGATTCAAGCTTGTTTCTTGTAAGATGCGCTAATGTTACCTAATGTCTTAATGGCCAGTGATGACTAATTCGCTTTACTAATTAACTCAAAATATGTTTAAACTCGTTACAGTTCTATCTTAATAATTTACAAAAAATAAACGACTGGAGTGACGAAGATGTGATCGAAACGTTATTTAATAGTATAAATAAAACTAAATTTTTTCTAAAAATAAATACAGTGAAATCTTGTCGAATTTATATTTAACCGCCATCAATAGAGAAAATATTTTCATTAAATTATGGTTTTTCATCAAAAACAGTTAATGTAAATATTGCCAATACAAAAAATACAGTTACTCGTAAATTGTAAACTCCCACCTTTATTAAATCGATTAACAAAAAGTTCTTTAATCAGTTTGCAGTAAAGATTACCCAATATTCTAGCAAATAGATACGAGTATAGCCGTAGTTAATTTCTAGAATAGTTTACTATACAAATTCTCATTTTATGATTTATTTATTAAGAATATACTGTCTGCTATTATCAATCCCGTTATCTGTGTTTGCTACATTGACAGTGTCTTGCCTGATAACGTAGTTTGCTCGGTCCTATAACATGATATGTATTACCTACATATTTTGTAAAACTAATGTTTATCCATTAATTCTCAGGGCCAAACTATTCCAGAATAGTTTAGGTAAAAAATATGTAAATAATTCGTATAGCACGTTGATGTTTTAACAGAGAACTTTATAAGTATCAGTCCAGCATGTAGTGTTATATTTTAATGTGACCTTGTAGTTTGTTGATGAAAAGAATGAAGTTTCGTCTTTGATCTTGTTCGATAGCTATCAAAAGTTTATTTGTCAATTTTAAATTGATTCTAAAAATTTTTCAGTGACGGTAAATAATAATAATAATAGTCTTTATTGAATAACAAATTACACCTAGTTACATCTACTAGCCACCGAACTAGGCTGAGTCTGTATCTCAGTGGTTAGTTAAAAAAATACCTAACAAACTTAAGTGATGTTCTGTATAGGAGAGTCCTATGAAAACAGAGACTGAGAATATATAATAATAACACTTTAACTAACATTTTATTAGTGGATTAAGGGGCTGAATGGAAATAAAGTGGTTTAACTTAGTTTCATAATTAAATAATATGATTATTAGTCGTGTGGTCTCGGCATAGAATGGGGGCATCCCTTCCTTTCCTGCGGGTATCAAAAGACGTGAGTAAGGGAATTTAATAGACGAGGAATGAACAGCAGCATCTCTCTTAAAGCATTACCAAAAGCTAACTACGGTTGTCAACCCGCCTATAAAGCGTGGCAACTACTGGCAAAACCTTCCAAGGGAGAGGCCTATGTACAGCAGTGGACAATTAACGGCTAATATAATGATGAGAAATCTCACTATTCTGTTATTTTATAACGAAATAAATATACTGTTGTTTTATAATCACTCACAGATTTAAGGTCTCTGTATTCAGATTTCGAGTTTCTATGTCAATAAGTAGGTATATTTTAAAATATATAACTATTGTACTGATACAGTACTGAATAGGTTTAGAATTAGTGAAAATATGCACGAAAAATACAAGTCAATTGAGAATTCTTCTTGTTTCTTTAGACTTTGATAGATGAAAGTCTGAGACACGTAAATGACGTAAAGATATACAGTCGACTTTGTCTCCGCATCACCAAAATAGGTTAAAATATAAAAAAAAGATTACAAATAACAACGGACCTCCAAACAGGACAGATAAGGCAAACGATTGTAATATTTGGTTTACCTTAAGACATATAAATATAGTAAAACCGGTACAGTTGCTAAGAATAAAACAAATACTCTGACAGTGACTTTAAAAATGTGCGTAAAATATTTATTATAGGGAGTGTAGTGTTCTCAGTGTTCATGTATGATTTTTTTTATTTCATCATAACTTGTATATTTATTGCCTTAACAGATTTACAGATTTGGATGTATATATAGGACATCGTTAGAATCTTATAAATAATGAAAGTGGCTATTTTTTACATAGTTCGCTTTAACAGGGCTTTCGTGCTTTTTTTTATTCGCATAGTACAAAGCACTAGAAATAAAGATATATAAAAATAGGTTATTTAATTAACAATTAATTTTTAAGTGATTTACAAAAAAGGAGAATTTTAATACTTCTGTATCAGGGGGGAAAGGGATTGTTAGTAATGGAGACTGAGAATCCAATTGCTAGCAATATACCCAACCAGGTCGACCTCCTCGCGGTTCCCCCTGGAAACTATCATGGTTAATTCCTGATGAATTCATCATGATGGCCTAACTGGCCTGTTTTTATTCTCATCTATCACCCTTCACTGGTGCTTCGCCAGCGTATCCCGTTAGCGCAGGCGGGGTTACCATACCATTTTCACCCATAGAAAAAAAAAAAACACTTCTGTATCTTTACACGAATTATTTCTTTTTACAATTCTATTTGCTATCGAGAAGGTTTATTTTCATTTTGATCTCATGTTTGTTATATCAAAATTGTTGATTTTTATATAGTAAAATATTTAATTATTTCAGATGTGATATTTTCGGAGTCTATATTTACATTACCAAGAGATAATTTTGGTTCTTCAATATTAGTTATTAGAGTTCTATCTAATCATAAATGAAGCTTAATTTTATCACATTATGCTTTTATCAATATATCTACAATAATACTACACTGAGTATGTACCGTTAACATACATTTTGTACTTTTTTTTCTAGGAAATATCGTTTTCTTTAATATTGAGAGCCAATTACACTTCGCTATCGGGATAATGATGTGTTTACAATTTATTTATTTGGTTTTAAGTTTTCAATTTTCTGTTTTTATGTGTATAAATATTATAATTTTATGATATAATGCATTTTGTACTAGCATACGTACAAAACTAACGTGTCTTACAATGCAGTACAAGGAATTGAGGTTTTTGTTTGCACTTCTTTCGTCTTGTAAGATACAATAGAGGTATCACTTCAATAATTATATCCTTAAAATTAATTAATTTAAAGTTACTTTAGTAAAAAATACATTCATTTATTCATGTAAATTAATATTTTTTACACATTTATTATTATCGATAATTAAATTTGGTTAAAAATCATTCTTTACATTGAGTTTTTGTACAAGTATTAACATAGTTCATTAATTAATAACTTGCACAAACAATCGTTACTGTGTATAAAATGTAGTAAAAAGACTGTGTACCAAATTTACACACCTCAGTCTATCTATGTACCAATTTTATTGAAATCTCTTTAGCAATTTAAATGTGATTGAGTAACAGATTAGGATCTAAGCACTTTTATAAAGTTTCATATTTATACATTGATATATAAAAAGGCACAAGATTAACAATTGCATGTAAAAGTTATACTTGAAACTACTTTTTATTCTAATTTACGTAGATAAACCCACGGGATGCAGTTAGTTTACCACATCAGTAAAGATTACTTATGTTAATTCGAAACATGTGAAAGTAAATACTTTCAACTAAAAAATACACTACAATATTCGCGTGACTGGTTCTCAACTTCCT